CCAGTTTCGACACCGAAAAGTACATTTACATGTAAGTTAGTGATCCACTATTGATTTCAACGGTGGGCATAAATAAGAGGCCTTCATCTGTAATGACACCAACCAGGCAATTAACGCCAGGTTAGTTGCCAGAAGCGTGCGTAAGCTTACGATTTCAAAAGCGAAACTCAAGACAACTCCAAAAGATATTCTCCGCTTGACTCACTTCAACACTGTCATGGTACTCACGGGAATTGACACCCAGTCAAGTTACACATCTTTCTCTTGAAGTCTGTGCAAGATTAAAAGTCACTAGCTCTTTGGACACCCATCGCGTAAACACTATGGGCAAAAGCTTGAAACATTCGGAGTCTAACAGGCCTTGTGGAGGTTCATTCTCACTCACTCCCTCAACTTCCATGAAGACAAACATTTAACCATAGGACCCATACCTACTGGATGGGCCAATCTCATCCTAGCCATTGGGATAGCCGCCCACTGTGGGGAAAAGTCTTGCTTGATAAGAGTTGCAACACTCTGCGGTGAGCTTCCTGCTGGGAAAGTGCTTACCAAATACAGAAAACCCCAGCTAAAGTCTGACTAAATTCTACGCCCAGCTTCCCAACATACTACCCAAGAGCTTCGAATCCAGACGGTCATCCTCCGTACATGGTAGACGACCGCTGAAAAACCGGTCCACCTGTGCAACTTGCGTTCTGTCGCATTACTGGGATCGCTTTAATTTTGCAACGGAAAAGCTAGGGCCTGTACGCAAAAATGTCTAGAAAAGCAATGGGCGAAGGAAAACAGAAAGTAGCAGACGAATAGCGTATCTACCTTTCAACTGCAGCTTAATATCCATTACGGTTATTTATCCTTTTTTACTCTCATTAACCTAATGCAAAAACGCCAAACATTTAATTTTGCAGTTTGCATTATCTGGCTTGAGCGACTGGAGGCGGCCCCAGGGCCTCCATTTTCCTTTAATACTGTCTGAACTTCACGACACCCTAGGATGGCTAATGAAAGGCCGTCAAAAAAGATATGCCTTCCCGACCAGATGTCAAGGCACAACAGTAGAGTTGTGCTGTCTTGGCCCGGTTAGGTCCCTTCGTCCAAAGACCGATCACTTGCTTGTGACCAAAATGTTGTACTTATTGATAGGTGCTAGCAGTGCCCACAAAAATGGAGTGGCCCCTTAAGCGGTTGGATACTGTGAGTGATTATCACCCACTCCTCCACACCAAAGATACGGGTTAATACGGGTTTCGTGTCTCCGACCATTTTCACTGTATTTCACCGGGCTAGACCGACGAGTTATGCCCGTTTCATCCTTCAGTCGATTTTAAAATTATAGAATCCCTCAGCCGGAGGACTCCAAGCGATGCCTAAATAGGGTTATTTAATCGCCAATAAACGTAGGGCCCTTCAATTAAGGCAACTAAGCAACTTTTACTATCCTAAGTAAATCGTGTCTTCGCACCAAACCCCAAGGGCCATTCGTGAAATGTTGGGGAAGATAGTCTTGTCCGGAGAATTCGATATCCTCAACACACAGAGCTCTGTAAATTCTAGTAGCCTGTTCAAGTGAGGAGATCACTGGAGTTCCTACCAGTGATCTGAAATATTCTTGCACCTCACTCTCAGATGCCAGGTAGTGGCTGCTCCCCACCCTAAAAAGGATTTTCCTTTGTCTGGAACGTATCCAAGTTGGAGGCCCGTCACTTGTCCGGAACGTATCCAAGATTGGAGGCCAAAATAATAGGAGGTCGTAGTTATCAGGACGGGCCAAGAGAAGCAAAACCCTACTTCCCAAAAACGATGTTAAGGGGCTTTTTGTTCATAAGTGTCACAGGATTCGTCCTTCCTACGAGGATCAAGCGTCTTAACTGGCCGCCCATGAGCCCCCAACACAGAACGAGCTTACGCCAACTAGGGAGGACAGTTTAATGACAACCGTTGGCCATGGTATCCACAGCTGTCATTGAAGTGGCCCCAAACACATCGTTTAACAGTTGGTCTAAATACCTTAGAATATACTCTCGAGCCTCGAATGTAACAGGCTTTCCAATGGGTATTTTTTTTGTTTATTGAGACCCGATAGGTGATGACTTTATTTTGCGAAGCTTGGTGTGGAGGGAGGAGGGTGCAACGAACCGACGCGCCCCTCGACTCCCGTAAAGTAAGAAAAGTAACTCCGAAGCGTAACTTCGTAATGTAAATAAGGTCAGCGGAGGAGGAGGTAGAGAAGCAGAAACGACACGTAAATGCAAAAGCGATAAAAGATGAAATGCAAACGAATATTCAATAAAATGATATAACAGTTTTGGTAGGCGACCCTAACGCTTCAAAAGCCTTCTGGATGGGGCTCCAGTGCACCAGGTAAAGTAGACTTTTTGCAGCGGCGCTGGCCAAAGCAGTTCAACGGAGCGCTTGGACTCAACACGTTTTTGCACCCACCAGCTACCGTGCGGGCCCACTACAATCCCTCCCGGATTTAGTCATCACCAACGAAAGGCACCTCGTTGATCAGGTAATAATTAGCGCCCCACTGGGACATAGTGAACGCTGTGCGCGCACATTCAATATCCTCTGCTACTGGGCCAGTAATCCCGAGACTTAAACGTGGATTCGAAACTTCTGCCGCGCAGACTCCTCAGAAATGCACATCTTTCTCGAACAAGTTGAACTGGCACCAGGTGCAGTGGACCATTGTCCAGAGAGTTCACGAGGCTGACGCAGTTTTCGCCATAAAAAACCAGCAGGCAGACGGATGAGTTGCAAGCTACATAAAAAAAATACGATGTCTTCTGGTAGAGGTCATAACGTGTTCTCAAAAAGTTGACTATAGCAGAGAAAGAAGATGAGTTGATATTTCGTGGAACGCGGAACCCCTGTCAGTCAGAAATCCGCCACTGGGACACAAAAACAAGCACTCATCATGGACCTCACCAGGAAAAAAAGAAATCCGCTGTTCAAACAAACGAGAAATCGCCGCAAAAACTAGCGTTCCCTTGAGGGACAGGAACAGAGAACCAGCGAGTTACCGAACATGGTACCTGACGTTTACAGAGAACACTATGCAAGTCTATACTCAGCCCCAGCGTCCTCGTCACATCCACTCTTGTCAAGGAGAAACTACGAACAGTCTCTAACCGA